GCTCCAAGGCACGGTCAAACAGACAGCTGCTTAAACACATGCAAGCAGAAAACTTTTGCTTCTGTGACAAGTGGGCTCGAAAAAGTCGGGTGCAAAGAAGTGGGGGGAGCCTGGGGAGGAGCATCCCTCTGCTGCAGCCCCGGCGAGGCGGGCGTGCAGGCTGAGTTGCTGCAGGAGGAATTAAGGCTGGTGGACCTGAGGTGGCCCCCTGGTCCCACTGCCACGGCTCCTGGGAAAGATGGGGAGGAGGGAGGGCTCCGGAGCAGCCTGCCGCAGGGCTTTGCAGGATAAGTGTGGCCTTTCTCTCAGCAACACTTGGAAACACCCTCGGTGCAAAGCTGTCAGGGCAAGGAAGAAAAACCCCAAATCAATACGAAATGATGAGTTCAATTGGGCCCATTTTCAAAGCTGTCAGGAGCTGTGAGTGAAGTGCAGTAACCAGGAAGGAAAAACGATTTTAATTCAGACTCTTTTTGGAAAAAGCAGGACCTGGTAAGGGGCAGCTCCTGGTGCCGTTTCCCGAGCAGAACAGAGTTTCACCTCTGAGCGAAGGGACTGGGGGGGGGGTGTGTGCCCCCGTTCCCCCCCCCCCCGCCACGTTCTCTGTTTGCTGCGGGAACAGCTCTTCCCCACAGCTGGTCCCTGCACCAGGGCGGCTGGCACGGCCGCTGCGCACGGGGCGCCGATGGATGAGCCGGAGAAGAAAGGAGGCTTGTTTTGTCCCAATTTGCCAAACAACATGGTAGACTTTTTTAAATTACAGTGTAAAAAGTAGCGGCAACTGCCTCTCTCTCTTTATTTTCCCATCGAGGGGCAGGCGGCAGCGCCCTTCCCACCTTGCTTGTCCTCCTGAATCCTCAGCCAACGCCGCCTTGGTTTCATGGCAGCCTGGAGCTGGGGACGAAGCTGTTATTACCCGTTGAAGTGCACGGTCGAGTTGGTTTGTCACTACAGGGCTTCGCCTCCTTCCCTGCCCTGGGGCAGGGCCGGGCCGGGAGGAGGGAGCCCGGGCAGCGCTGCCCTGGGCACTGGGATTTCCAGGACCGTGTGTGCATCCCACGAAGCGTTGAGGAGGCAGCGAGGACCAGAGCCCTCCTTTGGCTGTGCACCCCCCCCCCCCGGGGTTTTTTAAAACTT